AGCAAAGTTTTGGGGGGATTTGGGGCACCGAAATGGGGACGGGTACATTGGATTGTTCTCGAAACACTGTGCTTGCCTGCCCTCTCCTCGCTCCTCCCGGCTGCATCCGTGCGCCCCTCCGCGCATCCCCCCGTCCCTCCGCCGGGGCCGCGGAGCGTGCCGGAGAGCCGTGTGTAGGGGTGTGTGTTCACATTATTTATTACCATCATTTACCGTCCAAAAGCTGTTGGCACATACATTTTCAAGTACAAATTGCTGTTGTATTACATATTCCCCTCTCACCAATCTGCCGCCAGCGTCCTAAAATATATCCCTAATATGCTTTATAAGTATGTATATCACCAAGGAAAATAATTAACGAACGTCCTTCACGACGTCCGCCCATGCACGCGGTTCGAAGAAATTATTATTTATGTTCCCTGCGTTACCCAGAATGTTTTAAAATGGTCGTGGGAAATTATTGCGCCTGACTTGTTTGGTGGAGTTATACATCGGAGGAGTTTTATTTGCAGACATTAAAAAAATTGTCCCGGAAGAAGTATTTGAAAACAAAACAAGCATAAAAGTGAAAAACAAACCACACACAAAGTCGAGATTCTATTTTCTCAGCTCCCTTGAAAAAAAAATATTACGTGCAGAAGGGGATGTGTAGAAGGAAGCAAAAGACAGAGGGAACAAGTCCATATTGTGTTTTTCGCGTATTAGATGAAATATTAATGTCAGGGTAATATTTCTGTCCCAGTGCAAAATGCAGCACATAGTTAAAGATAAAAAAGATTAGCTCAGTTTAATTCGAAATAATTCACGCAAGATTCAGAGGATGCATACTTTAATTCCAAATGTCTGAACGTAAGGATTTATAATCACCTAATTCCTGGCGTCCTCTCTCCCTTAGATTTGAGATTCCCGTGGACAGAAAGCGGCCTTAAACTTTTGATGCGGACGGAAGGGTACCGCAAATGTTTTGTATTTTTTTCCTACCAAAATAATAATACAGTATTTAATCTATCCCCACCTCGAGCTCTTGACAGTAGCAAAGGTGGTTTGCTATGGGAAATAAACCTTGACAGGAGCATATTTCCGAAAAAGAATGATAAGTAGAGCTGCAAAGCTGAATTTTTTCTCCCCTTCTTTTTCTCGGAAAGACTTCTGCTTAAAAATGCTAAGGATCTAAGAAGTCCTTCTGAAATAAAGGAGAACAAATACGGTGCTTAACATTGAAATGATCGGAAAAGAAAATCGCTTTGTGCTTCCAGAGCAGTGACTTTATTTTGCATTCGTCTGAACAAATGGGTAAGCATCTCTGTCTTTAGCCTATAAATTAAAGCTTTTTTTAAAAGCTGGCTATGGTTTAAATAAAACCCCATTCCTCGTACATTTCAGCATTCTCCGTGGGCAGTGCTCGCAATAAAATCAAGACAGCGTTTAATAAAAAAAAAAAATATTGGCAGGCGCTAAAAGGCCGTTTGTCGCCATTCATAACTTTTAGATGCTTTTTAATGCACTTTAATGATGATTTGAAGAGATGGCCTTGCGCATACTCGGCCGGTAAAGGAGTCCAAAAAAGAAGTGGGGGGGTCGGGAGGCGGCTCCTGCCCTCCGCCGGCGGGGGCGGTGGGAGCCGGGGTGCCCGGGCCGCCCCGCAGCAGGGCCGCAGAGGCGATCGCGGGGGCTCCTCCGCGCCGCGGGCCCTTCCCTGTCCCCCCTCACGGCCTGGCCCCCTCCCCTTTGAATGC